TGGCGCCGCCGCGGCCGCCGCCGCCAGGTGAGACTCGGCCGCTCGCCCGGCGAGGTGCGGCTCCCGGGGCGCTGGGGCCCGGGCGGGACTAGACATCACCCACCTCCACCAGGAAAAAAAACCTCTGCCGGGCTTTGCCACACATCCCACCCTACCCACGGAGCCACTACAGCCGGGCACTCCCGAAATACCCCTCCCCCCCGGTCCGCAGGGCACCAGCCCGCCTGTCCCTGGAGAAAGCAGAACCTCGCCCGTGGTTTGGTCTTGATGAATCTGGCCATTTTTGTAAGTGGCGCTGCCCCAAACACCAGTGGCTGCCCCGAGAGACGATAAGTCAGGTGCCTTTCGCACGGGAGCCTGGCAGAAGACATGCACATAGCCAGCCCCTTCGCCTGCCTGAATCAAGCTAGCTTTTCTACACGCCCCTCTAGACTGCCAGCCGAGCCCATGAGACCTGCAGCTGCTCCAGCTCGCTCTAAAAATTCAGTTCCCAGCACATCCCGACTCAAAACCACCTCAAAGATCATTGATCCGCTAGTTTCAAAACGGTGCTATCCAAATAAACCACCACGGGGCTCAGTGCTAGTGACTGAACAGAATCAGCAGTTTCACATTGGAAAATGAGTCCAGGTGTGCGGGTTTTTTGGTGAAGAAGTGGCTACCCTTGTTTAGTAGTAATACTTTGATTTTGGATCAAAAATTGAATGCAATAACCACACAATCTGGTGCTATTGCTCCAGAAACTGCAAGAGGTCTGAATTTTGAGTGCAGTAAAAGTCAGCTAGCATTAGTTTTTGCTTTATCATTCAAATTTGCAGTAAAGTCCAGAAGCCACCCGAAACATTTTAAAATTCCAACATTTTAACCATTTAAAAAATGCTCTCCCCCCCATATCATCCCACTTTAAATTCACCTTTGCTTATCTGCCAGGATGTTGTACAACTACCCTGTGTTTAGACTTCTAATCCAAACAATCATCTCCGTATTTGTTTTCATTCATTTCCACCCGGTGATGGATTATCAGTTTTTCCCTTAATGTCCTTGCTCTTCAGTAATCCTATGTTTTCTTTTCATATATCAATAGTGTGACAGCATCTAGTCATAAGAGAGCAAGTCACATTGTCATCAGACAGTTAAATTTAAACTCCATTTCCTTCCTCTCTTATCCTTCTTGCTTGTGCAAGTGGCTCTAGAGTAGGTTTTAAATTAGCCTGGTATTTACTCTTAGAACAACTGGTGTTCTCTCTGTCCTGTCATTCTTTATTGCTTGCTTTTAAAAAAGGGTACATTAAAAGAAATCAGATTACAAATCAAACAGGATCATCTTTCATGTGTTAACAAGTGCTAAATCTCCTATCTTGTCCCTGGCTGCAGGATGGGAGGCTCCAGAGAAACCAAATCTTGGCTTCAGTCCAGCACTGCAAACATCTAGTTCTTGACCAAAGGAGAAACTTATTGAGTCGTTTCTGCAGATAGGTTTCTGGTTTGCCCTCCTGCTAAGATAGGAGGTTGCAAAATACTCTATTCCCATCTAGTGGTGAGAGACTGTTTTCTTGTACCTAAAATGTAATTATACAGAGAGAGACCAAAGTAGTTGCAGTTTTGGCAACTCCTGGTCATTTTATGCTGTGATATTTTGTGCTTTTCTTAAAGCTCCAGCTCTAGGAGTCATGTGAATATGAGAAGTCACATCAACAAAGGAGAAATCTTATGTTTCTGTACTGAAATTGGACCCACATGGACCTTAATATTAAAACCCAGAATCACTCTCAGTTTATAGCAAATCAAATTATTTTAAGCTAATTTATGATTTTGGAAATGTCTGGCTCACTTATTTTCAAGTTTATGTTTGGAATTGGAAGTGCTGCATTATATCTCCAGCGGTCAAATGTAAAGAATCTTACAGTAAAAAGTCTTCCGTGAAATGGGGAATACAGCTGAAACTGCTGACTAAGAGTACTAAAAATCTTTTTAAGTGTCAGCATTGTAAGTATCTCTCTCTTTATGTGTATAAGGAAGGGACATGTGTATAGTGCTACAATGTACTAATTCTGCACAGCTATTTAACACCATATATATAAATTAATTCAAATTTAAGGAATCCAAATTTATACTTGAGAATCAGATTTTCAAAGCAGATTTCCTTTCAATTCCTATTTAAGCCTGGCTTTTAGATGGGCATCAAGTTCAGTTGCATGGAACCCCTCAGAAAGTGACTGGTATTCTCCAACTCCAGGGAAAAAAAAGTCATAAAGTAAAGATCATAAGTTTCCACAGGTATATACAGATGTCAATCCATGTGCCAAGTAGTATAATTCTGGTTTGGGTAAATGGAGATTTGTGAGAGTCTGATGGACCTCAACATCCTGCTGCAAACTGACCCAAAAATGCATGTATCCAGCCTGTAGGATCAGGGTAGATTTTTATGTAAACTACCAAATTCTATCAGCTAATCTTTTACACAAAAAAAATCATCCTATTTTTAAACCCACTCTACTAATCAGTTAGAAAGTTATAAAACCACCTTGGGGTCAATCATAGAATCCAATCATCTCAATATTCTTTTCTCTTCCCTTTCCCCCTGGTTATCAGTCATTGCTTGTAATGCCCTTATACTTTAGGAACCCTAAGTTTCCTTTTGATATCAGAATACTGTCATAACTTCTGGTTACAAGACAGCAAGTCCTGGAGAAGCACAATCACATTTCCTTCAACAGCTTTGAATATATCTGTGAAGTGTAATTGCCCAGAAAATATGTAACTAAAATTAAAAGCAACTTCCATTTTGGCAGCATAAGCATAGCCATATTATATGAGTGTGCTAGGAAAGGATTACCATAATACTATCTTTCTTGCTGTCTACCGAGAAAGCAGGTTCAAAGTGTCCTTTGTTGCCTGAGATATGTGTGTGGGGCAGGTGTGCTTATGCCTCATTAACTGCAGTGAGAGCTCAGAAGCTATGAAGAAGGGTGCCAACTAGTTCTGGGGTAGACGAGGGATGTCTTAGTAAGACCATGGCCTCACCCCTGCAAACAAGCCACGCTCTAGTCTTTCCATGTGGGGCAGGGCAC